TGCCAAGCATTTTACACACACTGACCAGCAGCTAAGAGGTTCAGGGACAGACCCCTCTGCTCAGATGTTACAGAACTGTCAGGATTCAGGGGAAAACCATGAAAAATAAGCAGGACTTTAGTCTGTGTGCTTTTGAAGTCAGATGAAGTGAGAAGCAGCTCCACAGGTCACAGTTCAGAGGAAGCAGCAGCTGCCTCTTTTCAAGTTCAAGGCTAATTTAAAAGCTCTAAACAGGGACATTTGGGGAAATTCTAGGCTTTGGTTTTGTCTCATTTTGTCATATTTGATGAAAGACAGATGAGGGTGAGTCTAATTTGCCGTTTTTGTCTCTCCTCCTGCTGCTCCTAAGCAGCTGGAGCTGCCGGCGGCTCACAGGCACCTCCACGGGCGCAGGGAGCTGCTGGAGGAGGCGTGTCTGGGCCACACCCGGAAGCGGCGGGTGCTGTCTCCCGAGGACCTGAAGCACCTCATCGTGGACGATAAGCACAGCCTCATCTACTGCTACGTGCCCAAGGTGGGTGAGCGTGGACCCCCGTTTATTCTCCGTCCCTCTGATCTCCAAACGCCTTTATTTGAGAAAAACGGACTCGTTGTTCACAGTTTAGTCAAACTTTCATAAAATGTGTGGTTTTTTAATTCTTTTTGGACTGGAATGACAGCTTGACGGCCTGTCATTTTCAGTCCAATGAGCTCCAGTCTGATTCAGTTTTCCCATTTAAAGGAGGCGTGCACAGAGATTTCTGTCTCTGTGATGTCAGAATAGAAACTGATCCATGTTTTCTGCTCACCCATCAGCTCATTAGGCTTTATCGACTCCTGTCCAGCTCACACTGACTGAAAATGTGAGCCTCAGGAGGGTCTGTGACCGTATCCCCTGTGGACCGCCTCACGCCCGTGTCCCCGTGTGTCCCGCAGGTGGCCTGCACCAACTGGAAGCGCGTGCTGATGGTCCTGACGGGCGACGGGCGCTACAGCGACCCGCTGGCCATCCCCGCCAACGAGGCGCACGTCCCCGGCAACCTGCGCACGCTGTCGGAGTTCCCGGTGGGCGAGATCAACCGCCGCCTGCGCAGCTACCTCAAGTTCCTGTTCGTGCGCGAGCCCTTCGAGCGGCTGGTGTCGGCCTACCGCAACAAGTTCACGCGCAGCTACAACACGGCCTTCCACAAGCGCTACGGCACCAAGATCATCCGCCGGCACCGGCCGCACGCCGAGCCGCGCGCCCTGCAGGCCGGCGACGACGTGTCCTTCGGCGAGTTCGTGCAGTACCTGGTGGACCCGCGCACGCAGCGCGAGGAGCCGCTCAACGAGCACTGGGAGCGCGTGCACTCGCTCTGCCACCCCTGCCTGCTCCACTACGACGTGGTGGGCAAGTACGAGACGCTGCAGCCCGACGCGCAGGCCGTGCTGCGGCTGGCCGGCGCCGAGGCCGCCGTCCAGTTCCCCGCCTCGGCCAAGAGCACGCGCACCGACGGCCACATGGCCGCGCGCTTCTTCAAGCACGTCAGCCCGCTCCTGCAGAGGAAGCTGTTCAACCTCTACCGCATGGACTTCCTGCTCTTCAACTACTCCACGCCGGAGTACCTCAGCGCCCGGTGAGACGCCCCCGCTATTTATTTCAGCGCCGTGTCCAGCGGAGCCCCGCCCGCCCGCCACAGCCCCGTCACGCTTTTTCATTATTTGATTTTTTTTTCTTCTTCTACTTCTGTGAAATAATGAGCCATAAATGGACGCCGGACTGGAGAGGAGCAGGTTCTCCTCTGGCAGGCGAGCGTGGAACGGCCGAGTCGCAGGGCCTTTATTTATGTCTGCCAGCACAGAAAATATTTATTAAAGTAGAGAGGGAGGCCAGGCTAAAGTAATTTATATGGAATAGGAAGGGTCAGTAAAGTGCCCGGGAGGCTTTTTCACAGCGACTGACGCTGAGAGGGAAGTCCAGAGTCCCAAACGAGCCCGGAGAGTCCAGAGAGAGTGTGAAGCTCCATCTATCAGCGTCTGTCCGGCCAGGCTGCCCGCAGCTCAAAGCAAACAGCCCGCCGCATAGCTGTGGTCAGCGGCGGGTCCGGCCCAGCCCGGCCCCTCAGAGCCGGCCTTGTTGGGAGCGCAGGGGCCCGAGGGCTCAGCGCCCCCCCCCCCCCGCCTTGTCAGGAGAAATGCAGTGGATCCTACTGTCCTCGGCCACCAGCTTCACTCTGACCAGTCCAGGTGTCCGGCTGGATCCGCCGGTTTTCCCAACACCGGTTTCTGTTTCCGTGCTGCACAGAGCTGAACCTGCACCTCAGGATTCAGCTCCACGGAAAGTTTTAAGCCTTCAGTGAATTAATTTTAAAAAGAAATGAACCAGTTAAAGGACTTCTTGAGCACACAGCCAAGCGGTCACTAAGGAACGGAGCGCCCAAACGGGTCTCAGATCAGCTCAAAATCCCATTTCCAGCGAGTCAAACGGGACCTTTTTTTATACTGTAGCTCAGCCATTTTCTGCCAACTCAGCAAACTGATACTGAAAACACCTCCTGGGAAGTGGGAGCTCTATTAACTGGGCACCAGGATCTCTCCGTGGACGCCGGCGGTCAGCTGACCGCTGCCACCTCCGACAGCTGCACCGCCCGGCTTTTTATTCACCCCCAGCTCCAGTGAAGAGCTGGAATCCTCCAGGTCCGGTCAGGAGCGCTTAGCGAGCTCCCAAACAGACGCTAAGGCTTATTTATAAAGGGCAGTGTGGACCGAGGGTTTGCCCGAGTGGACATGGTTCCACTCCCTCGCCCTCGCCTAATGTCTTAGGAAATTTTTAGTTTTTTTCTCTTACAGCTGCTGTTAGCCTCCACAAATCCCCCCCCAATTCCCCGTTTTAATCCCTTTGTGATACAGAGTTCAGATTCAGTCTGAAACAAACAGGAAACAGCATTTCCAGTCAAGAAACATTTTTTAAAAAGAGGCCACTTCCAGTTTCCAAACAATAATGTACATAAATCAAGTCGGCAGATGGGTTTGAGTTCTTTTCTTTTGATTTTCCCTTTTTTTTTTTTTTTCCCTGTAGTCACGCTTTGAAAAGTGCAATATTTATGTCAGAACGGACAAAAGTTAGGAGCGACGAGCACGACTGGGGGCGGAGCCTTAAACCCGCCGTTAGTTTGCAGCTAATAGGACGACAGGGTTCCCGTCAGCACCAGGGGACTTTCAGCCATAAAGAAAAAAAAAACTGGCTTTATTTAAAAAGCCCTACCCTCCGTGCCTGTGACACCCTCAGGACGGGCGCGTGCGTGCGTGCGCGGGGGGGGGGGGGCAGTCTGGGAGACAAAGCTGTGAACTGTTGTGATCGTTGACTGGTTCAAGTTTCAATAAACATAAACCACCTGACGGCAGCTTTCCTCTGTCTGCGTGCGTCTTGATTTCACACTCTGAACTCCGTTTAAAAGGGGACATGTCTGTGAAGAGTCTCAGTCGAGCCTGAAAAGTTCAGCTTAGCTAAACGTCCAGTTGCCTAAACTGAACTTTTCAAACATGTTTAAAGGTGGTTTGCACAGCAAGGATTAAAGCTTAAAAAAAAAACCTACTGTGACAGTAATATTTCTTGCATGAACTCCTTATGTTTTTGCATTTAGACGCTTTTATGCAAAGCAACTGACAAAGTAGACTCAGTGTTACAGTTATAAGTTCTCTAGAGGAAAATCCCCAGTCAGAATCAGTGGTGACAGCACAGAGAGAGAGAAGGAAGCTCAGAAAATATGTCCTATTAGTCAGTAAATGAATGTTTGGAGCTTTCCATTTGGCGGGTGCTGCTGCTAAATGAAGCTTCCAACATATAAAATGATTTCTCTGCTCAAAGCTCTGAGCCCGGCTCTGGCCGGTGGCTTTTCGTGGAGGTGAAAAAGCGTCTGTGGAAGCGTCTGTTTACTGCAGCGGTATGTGCACAGCTGGGATCTCTCTTTGGGATTTTTTCCCAGTCTGGCACCCACAGGTCCCGCTCTGCTGCCGAGGGTTTTCTCCTCGATCTGCAGCAGAGCTGGAACACCGCTCTTTCATTTTTAATTCAGCTCCTGGTTTTGGTTCCTCAAGCACCCGAAAACCCCACGACGACTCCATCCCGTCCCGGAACGTCAGCGGCAGGAGCGGAGATCGGAGCGCCACACCAGCGGGAAGTATCCCTGAATTAAAAAGGCCTCAGTGCACGGTACGCTGTGTGTAATATTTCTGTTTTTTTTCCTCTCTGGAGACAGCAGGAGACTGAAATCTGCCCCAGAGGCTGCTTCTTCTCTTCTGGACTGGTAAGTACACAGCTCTTCTTTAACAGCAGCTTTTGTTGCAACTTCTCTCAGCTTCTTCTTAACAAAAACAAAAGCTATTTGCGTGTAGAGTTTTCATTCTTAACATAATCAAAACAGGAATTACTTTGAGTTAAAGAAAAGCCACTTTCTTGGTCGGTTTTTATTTTTGATGGAGCGACGCAGACGCAAAGTTCCACTTTCAGTTTTTATTAAAATAGAATAGTTTGTAGCCACAGAGTCACATGGAGACACGTTAAAACACTTTGATCTTCACACACATGTAAGACGCGGCGGTGGAAGCTGAACACCCAGAGCTTTCAGTTCTCAGTGTGGCAGTGACAACAGGAAGTTACAGACTAAAGCTTCGAGTTTATTTCCACCGGTGTGGCTTTTTCCTCATCACACAGTTAACATTGATCTGGTTTCAAGGCAACTTTAGACCGTTCAAATAAAAGCCTGCAGTCAAAACGTTTTTAACAATCTCACTTCTGATGAGCGAGGCTGCGTGGTTAAAAACACCGTAAATCGACAAAAACTGAAAGTTTCGTGTGAAAACAACAAGTGCTGCGGGCGAATGGTTTAGTGTTTCAAGGACCCTTTTTTGACCTAATAAGTTTGATAAGTAGACTCTAACTAGACTCTGTCCTGGTACAGGTAGTTTTTCTTCTGTTTGTTTATATATTTAGTAAATGATTTATTTCATTTGGTTCTGAAGGACCAAATGACTTATTTACTACATTTTAATTATACAATAAGAACATAATTGGTTGAAAATGAATAAAACCATTCTAGATTTCAAACAGCAGTGTGTGATAGCGTCTGCTATGAGGCCACGAGGTCAAAGGTCAAAGAAAAAAGAAGCATCCTGGTACAGGTCCTCATGAGGACGGTGGTGACCGGTGGAGTCCAGTAGCAGCGAGGATGGAGCTCTTTGACTTTTCTGAAATAGTGAGGAAAGGAGGTCCAGAGCTTCCTTCATGATCTCCTTTAGCAGAGGCCACATCGGATCATCCTTTGAGATAAAAGAGAGATAATCCCACCCTGGGAGGGGGGGGTTATGGGTTTTAAGAGGACTATCTGATCTTTTTTTATTTTCTTCTTTAAAGAGGATCCCTCTCTGACTCTGAGAAGTAGCTGTAGTCTGCATTAGGAGCCTGGATGGAGCTATTTAGCAGCAGGTGAGGAGGAAAACCCAGCAGAAGGAGCAGAGCGGTGGGGGGAGGGGGGCTGTGCTGTTTGCTTCTTCTGCCCTGAATGTTTCCCTCTGGTGTAGAATCTGACTCTGACTCTGAATCGGTTAAAATAAAAAAGACTGAATGACCCTTTAAAGCAAAGGGCAGCAGCAGCGGTTCTTATTGTTGCTGATGTCTTTCCTCCTGGGCTTTGGAGGTTCACACGTGTCAGCGTTTGCTCAGAGTGGCTCTGCTCTTTCCTGAGCTCAGCTAAAGCTAAAGTCTGTGCTCTCAGCCCAGACGGTGGGAGCCAATCAGCAGCCTCTACGTCACCACAGCACGATTCCTCAAACTTGCTGCTTTCCTATTGAAAAACTGCACTTTAAAAACATCTTTAACAGAACAGAAACGAGTAAACTCTACAGTGAAACCATCTGTGGGTTTTTTTCTTGGTGCTGTGGAGAATCAGCCCCTGTTCTCATCGTGCCATTCTCCAGTTTCACAACATCGGTGAAGTGCACACAACACAGAGTGTTTGTGGGCCTAAAACGGCTGTTTGTCCTCAGAGCCGCAGCGAAGAAGCCATAAAGTTTAAAGGCGTGTTCCTTTGAACCGGGGCTTTAATGCCAGACAAACGAGTTGAGCTTGGTGCGACGGCAGGAAGTGGAGCTGAAGCCCAGCAGGGGTGCACGGGCCAGGCTAAAAACAGCTGCTTTCTGTGCACGTACGTGCACGAGCTGCGGCTGAGATGAGGTTTTTGTAGTTTTGAAAGCTCGAGGATAAACAGTAAGGCTTAGCTGGGCCCCCCCCAAAAAGGGCGGTTAGTGTGAAGTAGTGAGGGGGTGTAGTGCTGTACGACAGTGAGATGTTCACAGTGTTTAGAGAATATCCGTCCTTTCAGCAGCGTTAACGGTCACTAACTGGACAGAACCTTCTGAAAGCATCAACCTGGTTCTGTCTGCATCCTGTAAACAAACGCGTCATGGTGACGGAGGTTCAGATGAGCTCCCATCACATGATTTCAGTCCACAGCTGACAAATCTCCCCGTTAATTAAAGGTCAGCGCATAGACGCACCCTCCTCGTTCAGTCTGTGACCCCCCCTGCGTCCAGCACATCAGACGGAGCTGCGGATTGGCCTCCGATCGGGGTTGACCCGCGACTCTAAAATCAGTCTTAAGATGGCGTGTACTCAGTTTGAGGAATGATTGTTAAAGTCTGTCCAGAACAGCATCATTAACACACAAACTAAATGACTGAGACTTAAGCTCAAGGTGGATCAGAAAATACCTGGTCTGCGGTCTTCTGTTGACCACTGTGACAATCTGGACTGGCCTGTTGGTTACAAATCAGCAATACGTGTCCAATCAAAAATGGGGGGGGGGGGGGAAGGGGGAGAGGGTGGGGCTATGGGTGCCTAAGGCCTACATTTATAGACCCAGACTCTGAAACAAGGCGACGGCACGGAAGCAGAGGGCCAGGAAGCCGGTGCCCAGCAGGTCCCCCAGAGCCGTCAGGTAGGGGATGGAGAAGTTGTCCGGGTCCAGACTTCTTCTCCACATCAGCCGGACGATGAGGTCCGCCACGTACAGGAGGATGGACACCTGAGGGGGGGGACAGGACGGGGTTAGAACCACAGACGGACCTGATTGAGGGTAAAAAGAGGACTAGAGGAAAATAAATAAAGCGAGTGTCAGCAGGCTGAAATCAGACTGCAAACATCCTGTAGGTCTTTGTTTAAACAGCTGAGATGGTAAACTTTTGTCCTGGAACAAATTCCTATTTCCAGAACGGCCAGCCCCGGGCACCGGTCCTCTCACAGTTAGCTAACAGGTGGCAGCAGCCACTTCTAAACAGACTGCCCAGTCTGCCGGTGCACTCTGAGCTGTCTGGGTTTTCACAGGCGTGTATCAGAGTGACCGAAGAGCCCCCGGGTGAGGGAGGGGGCAGCGGGTTTACGGGACGTGGAGCGTTGGTCAGCGCTCACCTGCAGCACGGCGGCACACAGGTAGCAGAGGGTGAAGGCCAGGCTGATGGGGGCCTCCTCCCCCTGCAGCAGGGAGATGGCGTAGAGGAAGACCAGGTGGCCCGGCACCACCAGCAGCAGCAGCACCCGCGCTGACCGGGAGTTCACCCCTGTGGTCAGAGAGGCGGTCAGTCACTGTCAGGAGTATCAGGAGGCCGCTGGGTTGATTCTGATTCACTAAATTCAGCTTCGACATCAGGATCATTAACACTAAGTAATAGGTACATACTATAATATTTAATGAATCTAAAGGAGTAATGATGTATTATTTCTCTTATAGGACAATCTACACTGAGGATCAAAGCAATGTTAAAAAAAAACTGTTTTCAATACAATACAACTTGAATGTAAACTCAATGCCTCCTGTGTTTGTTTGCGTTTCATCCAAATTTACATACATCATCCATATTCACACATTTTCTACATTTACACCCATACATACCATCATCGGTTTTTAAAACCCATATATACAATCATCCATGTTAACATACATTTTTATATCCATACATATCATTTTTACACCCAGACATAACATCATCCATTCTTATATCAGTATATACCGTCATCCATTTTTACACCATCTTTTTTGCAGCCACATATACCATCAACCATATTTACATCTTTTCATGCTACCATCCATTTTTAAACTCATATATACTATCAACTATATTTAGACCTATACATATTTTACACACAATCATCCATGTTTACATTCATGCATTCTACTCATATCAAAGCCTGCCATCATCCAATTTTAAATCCATACATACCATTACCCAGATTTACATTAACATCTATCATCATCCATACTTGCATATAAACTATTTAAATAAAATAATTTCGATTAAGCTTATAAAAGTGTTCTGGAACTTTACATTCCTATTGTCATTGACCTGACTAGTCTAACTGCATATAAGTTTTGAAAAAAGATAAAAAGGCCAACCAAGACTAAGGTTTAACAACTTTTTCATTTAGTTCATTACTGTTGCAAAAATATGAAAGAGAAAAATCCACCAGTTTGAAGTTCTGACTCCCTACACAAAAGATACACTGGCCGTGTCATCAGCCCACCTGAGGAGAAGAAGGTGATGCAGGGGTTGGGCCAGTGTTGCCTCATCTTGTAGGGCAGGACCCCCGGGATGCTCCAGAAGTGCAGGTAGGTTGAAATTCTGCTGGCCTGGATGGCCACTAAGTTACCACCCACTCCTTTAAATGGAAAGGAAAGACAGACGACCAAAGTGAATGATCTTCTGAAAGCTAACCAACAGAAATCACAGCCTTTGGACTTCATCAGTTTTGATGCCAGGAAACAAATTTGGCTGAGAATTGACGGATGGCCCAGAGCGTAAGCGCTTAAATAAGTGGCCCGGGCCAAAAAAAAAGATAAATCCTGGCTTATGGAGTCACAGCAATGCAAAAAACTTTAAGGGGGCAAACAAAAACTTCACCAACACTCCAAAAGCACTGAGAGTGGCAACATTGGATGGGGAAACAGGTCCAACCGCTTAGAGCTTCAAATGTGGCTCTTTCAAAAATAATTTTTCATCACAACCCACCATGTAACAACAACCAAACAGCTTGAGAAGTCCCTTTCAGATATTTGTTTTATGTTACAGACTTATAATCACTATGAGTAAAACAGTAGAGAAGATTTGGTGTTCTTTAAAATGCTGCATTATAGATATATTTTGTTTTATGGATGTAAATAAATGTGATGGATTATTTCTATCCAACACCCTTTTATGTGTTTTTTTCCTCAAAAGGAAGGGACAAATCCTTTTTTGTTATATGTTGAAGGAACTTTCAGGAAAACATCGCACTTGTTTTATTTGCAAGCCAGTTTGGAAAGACGGGAAATTCAAACCAGACTGGCAAACTTAGAATTCAGCAGAGTGGTGCGAGGGGAGGAAGGGTTGAGAAACAGCGGGAGAAAGGGTGGAAACTAAATGAAAACCAGTGACAGGCAGAGTGGATGGTTATTAAAGGCCCTGTCAGCTGTCCCAGAACACTGGGTGTGCACCGTAAGTGGTTTTCTGCATCCACTTCTCCCCCGGTGCTCAGCGGATCTCTGCATGCATCACATCACAGCCAAAACACTCCATCTGAAGGCCGCTTTTGTGTCCTCTTCGGAGTTTCTAACTTACACCGTCAGACGTAGTTATTATACTAATTTCTGCAGCTAATTTGGGGCCTCTTCACGCAGAAAAGAGCAGAGTGGAAATCTACTCCTCTGTTCCTTGTTTCTCCTGCTTCATTTCACCCTCTTCAGCATCTTGCGAAGCATCACCGGCAGAGTGAGGTGATATTTCTGTCTTTCAAGAAGCTTTGAGACTCTAGAGATGTTATTTTGAATATATGCTAATGATCAGATCTTCTAACTAAATCATTTGCAGCAGAAATAAATAGAACAAAAAGCTTGGAAATTGATTTATGAGCTAAAACAGAAAAAGAAAGGGAAGCTTGAGACCACATCATATAAACTTAGACATAACTGAATATTTATCTTTATAATTCAGTCCTAATTACTGCCAGCTTTTTCACATTTTAGACTGCTTTGAAACGCAAAATATGGATCTAGTTGAAATAAATCCCTTAAAAGCACAGGCCATAAAACCTCTCTGACAGAAAGGCTTTCCGGGCCCGACACTTTTCCCCAGTTGGTGGTGGGATTAGCGCTGCTGCCTTTTGGCCGAAGTGTTGAGGGGGCACGATGCAGACCTCAGTGAGCATGTGCAGAGCGCCGTCATGAATTCCAATTATATTGATTATCATTAGGTGGCAGGGTGGAATACTGCTCAATTCTGATATGAACTGAACATATTTCACTTTAGCCTGTCAATTAAAAACTGGTCTGATGCAAAAATAACTTGTAACTTTTTCTTTTGCTCTGTGTTTGTTTCCTGAGTTTAAAGCTTTTAGATTGCATTGTTCTTTTTAATGATCTTCAAACACATAAATTACAACAGTTCTGAGCTTCCTTTAGGCAAAATCAATCAACAAAGCCCTTTATTTCAGCTGGAGGATTTAGGGGCGGATTAGAAGTGAGAAGTCTTAGTATTCTGCACACAAAGCTGGACTTCTGACTCTGTCAGTGTAAAGGTTCAGTCATGCTGCGTCCACACATTACCGTCTGTAACTGGAGATTTAATTCCATAACTCTTCAGGCAGGATTATGTTAAAGCTTATCAGCATTGTTTGTTCGGAGTGAACAAATCCCACAAGAATGATATCAGCAAACATCCTTTAAACGAAACCTGTGCTCTACAAATATGAGATCTGGAGAAAGAGCTAATCAGCTTACCGTTAATGACAGGCGTGAAGACAGCCATCCCCTCAAAGTTGGGATCGCTCACCGTCTTATCCAGTATAAGGCCTCCAAAACTGGGGAAACAGACGGAGAGATCAGAACAGACGCCGTTTATTGCGCAATTCTTAATTCCTAATTTTTCTCAGGACACTCTTTTGCAAACGACACCAGACGTTAGAAAAAATAATGTAAAAGGACAGAAAAGGACGGCAAACAAACCCATCAAAGAAAATCTCCACACATGAGAGTAATTCAAATGAACATTTATGAGTAAATAATGATGTACTTCTATAATTTACAGAGAACAGTAAATTGGAACTCAAAGACTTAAGTATGAAATATGAGGAGAGTTTGACGATCAGAGGCAGAAAACAAATGAAGTCCTCCCTATAAGAGTGCTTGTAAAATGGTCAAACGCGCTGAATGCCTGCTGTTTTTACTGGTAAGAAGAGCAGCGTGTACCTGCTAATGGACATGGCGACTATCACCGGCTGCCAGCCTGAGCGGAGCACCTCTCTGATCTGAGGACTGCGTCGGGCCACCACCACCCAGATCGGGATTAGAGCCAAGAAGACCAGGCACACCAGGGGGGACAGGTACCAAACGTCTGTGTGAGGAGAGCAGGGTGATTTAGGGTGATTATTCTGTAACGCTGGATGGTTAGATAGTTGTGAAATAGACCCGTTTATCTCTTAATTGTGTTTTTATTGTGAAAAACACACACATAAGTATGATGCACCACTCCCTTATTTACTTATTACAAGCTCTTGGAAAAAGGCACACTTGAGTAACACATTCAAACTGTAGAAGCATTGAAAAATGTAATCTGATTTTTGCTGCCATCTTGTGGAAATATCTGAATTCCACTTTTAATTCTAATTTAATGCCTCCTTTGACCTCCCCAAAATCAAGAGAAATTAAGCCATGATATCCTGATGTATCGAGTTTGGGAAAACCGTCCTTCCCACTTTTCTTACCGACATATTCGTAGAGCGTGCTGCTGACCCCCGCCAGCAGGGACAGAGTTATCAAATCCCCCAGACTGGCAGCAATGGGCGTGGCCACATTGTCTGGGTTTATCCCCACCTTCCTGGAGCCAATGATCACTCCGATCATTACCAGGCCTACAGGCGCGAAATGGAGAGAGAAAACAAACAGAAAAAAAACATGTCAGAGAGAATCCAAAGTCAAGATTATTGTCATTTATTTTCATAGTGCTTCAAAAACTTCCAAAACGTTAAAACCGGGAATGAAATCTTGACAAAAAGTGTAATGGCCGAGTTAAAATCCCCATGATATAACTAAAACATTTTTATGTAAGTCATGTTTAAAGCCAGAGAGACGTAGAAGAAAATAAAATATAGTGCTGCAGTCATCTGTTAGTACAGGTAACATAAATCTCTTTCAGCCAACCTCGGGTATTGACAAATATTTTCTGTGTTAACATGAGTGATGTGTCCCCAGTGTGCCTATTATGAGCTGTAAATCCGGAGCATGCGTGGGAACACTTGGTTGTGCTGCCCGCGGTGTTCAGTGAGACGGGGGGCCTACCTAAGGACAGAGCAGCCACAAAGGCTGTGGTGATGCTGCTGGCACACAGGACAGCTGCCTGATCCAGTTCCACGCCCCCCCTCGAGAAGGCCCCCAAACACACGGCTGCCACGGCTGCCAGGAAGCCCACCACCGTGGCCTGAACCTGCACAAACAAGGCACCATTCCCAAATTCAGGATTCCCCCGGCAAATGTCGACACGGTTATTTCAAACCAAGTCATCCTGTTGGGGTTTTATAGCTTTAAAAAAGGACCAGAAAAGAAAATATCCCTTCATTATGTCACTTTGGCTCTAAGAGCGCTGCCATTTATGACTAACATACATTCAGTACTGAGGATTTCAGGTTCGAGGTGCTTCTTTAGCCACCGGCAGCATGCTTCTCGCTGAATGAGTTAACGGTTTTTACCTGTATGAGGGCCAGGTTGCTGCACACCATGGTCCACTGTTTGTCTGGGTCGTCCATTTGGCCCGTGTTGGCCTGAGGACATGCAGAGATCAACATTACTCAGTAGGTTAATCGTTAGTAACACACTTCCCAACTCTGTTTTTGCCTGAAGTTCGAGGTGAGTGGGTTAAGAAAATGACTGATAATAAATAAAATTATAAAAAAAATAAAAATACTTATGATTAGACAAACCCGGATCCAGTAATCAAGGATCCTGTCATTAGACTTTTACAAAGAAAACGTGGAAGGACTATATTTGAATGTAGCCAGAAAGATGAAAATTCAGTGCATTTTTGTGACTACTGAAGCTGAGAAACACCTATGATGATCACTGAGATCATCATAGAGATCAGAGATGAATTAAATCATCATCTAATGGATAATGAATCATGTTTTATAATGATAAATATTTCATTATTAATCACGTCATTATCTTAAGATAACAAAGCAATCATCTCTGAAAAGAGGTTCATTAAATCTTTTCTGATCTCGTAAAGTCGCAAAGTGTGATCACATAAAACAAATGTTGTCATCCTTATGCACTTTTGATTCCAGGATAGCATCAGGAAAACCACAAAGGCTTCTCTCTGCCTGTCTGCATGACGGTGAACCAAGTCCACCAAAGGTGGTCGGTGTATTGGCCGTTTATGTTTATCTGCAAAACAAACAGAAGGGCTCTACTCACAGCCGTGGAGAGGCGAGCGGCCAGGGTCATTTCCAGGTTGCCTTTCAGCCCAACCAGAGCTGGAACCAGGATGAAAACCTCGGTGATGACCTTAAAAACCTCCCAGTGCTGGAACACACACACAGGAACTTTAATGAGCCTCTTACAGTCATCATCTTAAACTTGTTAATGCTGCTATCATCATCAGGACTCCCTGAAAGAGGAGATTTTTTCCAGGAAGCCATTTCCTGGTCATCTTAAAGGACGTCAAAACAAAAAAAGTCTAATCTAAACCGACGTGTTTGTGCTCTACAAACCCACCAGTGTCCCCCCCCCCCCGCCCCTCACAGGCTCCCTCTGCACCCTGATGCGGTTAAATAAGAACATAACATATTCTAGACTAACCCAGTAGCCTACTTTCCACATCCCTGAGCAGCTCCTGAGGCTGCAGCGCACAGCACTGGGTCAGCGGGTTCAGGAGTCCCACTTTTCAGAGTCTGCCTCATATTTTCTGAACGCAGCTGCAGCTGACAAGTCCGTGGCATTTAGATGTTCAAATAAATGTGCAAGTAAGAGGACCGGAGCAGACATCTGGAAGTACCGATTCAAAAGGCAACAAAGGGCAGCACAGAAGCAAAGCCGGACTAAAGAAAATATACATTATTCATGTTCGCCGTGCAAGAGTGAGAGCTGGTTCAGCCAGAGTTTCCACATAATAATAAATCTGTTTTTCTATCTTTGCATGAACTATAAACAAGTCCTTTCTGTGGACTGTACGATAGCAGTAAACTATTTCCTAAGCACAAAACTATTTGAAAAATAGTTTCATTTACATGGATCCATGTTTGACACAGTTCATCATTTGTAAAAAAAACAAAAACAAAGCTGAGCTTCTGAGTTATTTTATCATATGACGACAGTTCATGCTGTCACAGAGTCTCTGAGGGACTTCAAAATGGACTCTCCACAGCACAGCATGGCCTAGATGGGGTAGGTACAGATGTGGAAAGGCATTAAAAATGAATGTGGATGATGTGTTTCATATTACATAGACATGTGTTTATGTGCTTATCATCCAGTGAAATGAGCTCTTCATCAGTCCTGGTTAAAACAGTGTTCCATAGAAAAGTTAAACCAGCCCAGTACTATTCAAAATACAGGTTTGCTGTGATAGAGTCACAAATCAGCACAGAATCCAGATGGTGGAGCTAAAGGAGGGAATAAGAAATATGAATACATATATGAATATATTAAAAAGTAGGAAATAATCTTATTAGGGGGGTTTAAACCTTTAAACAGGTTTGTTAAAGCAAAAAGTCATATCATTGGATATTCAGACTGGTTTTGAGACAACATATCTTTTTAAGTCACACGGTTTAAGCTGTCAAACTGCAGAGGATTTTCTGGCCAAACAGCAGAAACAGTGACAGTAAAGTGGCCGCTCTGGGAGCTGAATACACAAGGAAGGATTCATGTTCGACACAGTGATGCATTCACTGAACTCCGTCACATTGTGCTAATAAAGCAGCGAAAAGTGCATCGTGAAGGAGAACAACAACACAAACCTGACACACCTGGAAAAGGAGAGGGAGACGATCAAATGACTAAGAGGGGGTGAGGTCATCATTGTGGCTGAAAATGTATAGAACCAGAGGGGAGTTATCCCTTAGACGTTAGACTGACTGGCTGGACGTGGCTAACACGCGATTAAGGTGATAAAACAAGGTAAAAACATGGATGAATGAAGTGTAATGTATTGTGGAGATTAACTTTTAGTGTCTTATCTGTCGCATCCTCAAAAGGCAAATAAAACTTTCTTCCTTTGTGAGGCGGTATTTGCTCCGAAATCCCCCAGAGACATCAAAGATATCCCTACTTCTCCCTGGCAATGGTGTCGTGTTTCTTTATTTTTCGTTTATAAACCACTTATCGAATTTAACTGTCCAAGCCGATACTTTCTTCCACACCTAAATGTGTCATAGCTCCTTCAGCAGAAGACTCCTCTCACCCAAATGCACCACAGAGCGCCACCGGAAATCCTTCTTGCCGGTGGTCAATCTGTACAACGCTTCCCTCTGAGAGTCAAACTTAATCATTGACACTATCCACCTCTCATTTTGACCTACATATACACATATTGTTTCTTATGTATATATCTAGCTTTATTTATGAGGAATTTTGTATATATATATGTATATATGTATAGACATGTACATATGTATATGCCTTTGTTTTATTTTGCTTATGGAGCCTGTAACAAAAATAATTTCCCTCTGGGATTATTAAAGTATTTCTGATTCTGATCTGATGTGATTTAAGGAGCTCACGGAGGTGGATTTAGCACCGGGCACCAGCTATGGATGAACAATAGCTTTGTTCATAGGGAGGTTTGTGTGTTCAAACTATTTCAGTCATACCACACATTCGTATAACATAGTCTGTTTTTAGGTAACTTCCCCTTCATTCTGTCTGTATTAACCTTTTTTTTCTGGCATATATACATAAAGTATTTGGCAGTTGGCAGGGCGTAACCTTAAATGAACTTAAGCAGATAGACAAGTCTGATTAATACAAGACTAAAACCAGATTTATGCAGGTGGATTAAAATGATTTCAGTCGACACCAGTCTCATCTGAAAAGCGTAAAGTCGGCCTCTGCCTCTGACTGTTATCGACTCGTCACACAGCAGTGATAAATCCAGCTGCCTGTTCACCGTATGGACAAGCTCCAACTTCCCTTCAATATATTCCTACGGTTATTCATGCCTGAAGGCCAAAATGTTTGGGTTATGTCAATTCTGTCAACCGCTCACAAATCCCCCGAAAAATGTGCCAATCAGACCTAGTGTTTAAAGTTATCGAAGGTTATATCAGATCTTCAAAAGTTTTAGGGCGGGCAGAAGGAATTGTGTCAATATTGGATGATATAGACCCTAAACTTTGTCCTCTATTAGAGTTCAAGTTCAACAAAGACACGTGCTAACGGCTGACAAACCAGAGCCAAACTGAGTAACTTTCATACAGGAGACTGAAAACAGCTTTCATTTTGTTGTTAGTTTTAGGCTAAACCTCAAGGTAGCTCTCTCAACGTACCTACGTCGTCCCTTAACCCTTTAAATGCCACAGTTGATGATCAAGTGTGGCTGATCCGTGCCTAACCGTGAGACGGTTCCTAAAATTACACCAATATTTCTGCTAAGCGAGCAAAACAATGACTTATTTTTGTTTGAGCAGAAATTTAAGTACAAATGAACATTTCTATTTTACTGGTGATCCTCAAGCATCTAGATAGAACAATTCATTCATTCACTGATCCTCTGTAAAAGTTGCATTTTCATACTTGTATGAGATCCATAACAATACCAGCTGAGACCAGTCCCAGTCCTGATATCAGGTACGGCACCGCCACCTGCGCCGCAATCAGCCAGGAGCTCTCCGGTAGGAACCCGTGTTCGGATCGAGTCAGCTTCCATGTCACGCCGCGCAGCTTCTTGCCCTGGTAGCGGAGCTCCAGCTCCAGACGAGTCACCACCATGTCGACTGAGGGGTCCCTTTAGGAACTTGAGTAGTTATCCCATGGTAGATGCAACTTCGACCGGAACGTGAAGGGACTATCGGCTCCCAATGTGGCAAACAAACAAACAAAAGATGAAGCCTATCAGTCTTGTCCTTGGTCTAAGGTACAAGGGCACGTTTCTGTAGCATCTGCTACGGACATTAAAGACCTTAGAAGAATAGGACACAGAAGTCAATCCAGTTTTAACAGAAGCAGTCGGATCAGCCGGAGTCTCTTTAGGTGTCAGACACTTGTCACTTTTCCGTTCCCTCCGATTAAAGAAACTTTGTCCCTGTCAGACTCAAAGTCATCAGATTTAAGCTGGGAGCGATGGAGCGTGGCATTATTATCTGTGGTGACTCAGCAGTGATGAGGTACGTCGGCACCACAGGAGAAAAACACTCCGACACCATTTCTGATTAACAGGTCACGACGATCAACAAAAGCAGATGCTAAACATCTGCAGTCTCCGTCACAGACCCAATCTCTGCGTGAAAGACAGTTTTACTTAAATAATGTCTGTAATGTCCAAAAGTGGGTTTGTATGGATTCAAAGAAAGCTCAACAATGAGACTGATTCAGACGAAAATCCACTCAGCAGAGTTAAGTGATCGTGTCCGAGATCCACTTGAACTCCAGTTTAAAGGCACAGCAGCAGTCCAATGACTGACAAGGATAAGGGCAGGAAGACGGGAATAGTCCAAAAGGTCTGAAGAGTTAAGCAGGAAAGCCTTGCGCCTTTTCCATTCCAGGCAGCTGCTCACAGTGAGGGTAAAAAAAGGATGCAAAATGGGATCCGTTGAGCAGAGAAGCGATCCACTGGCTAAAGGCTGAAGGTGGCTGCCGGCTTCTGGCAGGCTGAGGTGCAGCTCTCCTCCGCTCAGCATCAGGGTAGTCCCGCTCGCTCAGCTCCGCTGTGACGTAGCAGCGGAAGAGACCGGGCCGTCTGCACTGGGCCAGGGGGGGGGGGGGGGGGGGGGGGATGACCGGCTTAATGCCTCCCACTCTCCCCCTCGCTATTTCTTGCTGCGTGTCTGCCTCCCATCCTGCCTCTCTCCCCATGTGACATCCCTTTTTCTACGTCAGTCCGGCTTGTTGCCTTTCTCCCTCATCCGTTTTTCTGGTCCTGCTCTCCCAATCATGACTCATGCGATCCCTCCATCTTTTGCCTCCATTAACTACTTCCAACCGGCTTTAGAAAGAAGGTGATCCCGAGGTGTTTCTGCTTTTCTGCAGAGCCTCCGTTCAATGAAGCAGATTTTGATTTTCCACTGGCTGTGAGGCTTTTAGTGATTTGCCCCTTTATACAAAAATTGAACCTAATTGAATTTTGAGCCATTCTTCAGTTCATCATTAATAAAGTCAGTAAAAAAAAAAAAAAAGTATAAATCAGTTAAACTTATCACTTCTAAAGTCCCCAGACCCAAATCAAACTGCTGACCAATGCACACCTGTTCTACTGTGGCTTTAAATCTACATAGAAACCTTATTTCAAACAAATCCAACAAAATTCACAAACCATTTTAAAACTTATAGAGAAATTCAAACAATCTGAAAAATGTGTGAGCTCTAATAACAAAAAGGCAAACATAGACATAAACTTTACATCTCATTTGATCACTTTCCAGGTATGACGACAACCGCACAAGCTACAGTTGCTGCTCTGGTATCCATCTCACTTCCACTTAGGTGGTGTGTGTCCTTTTGTGTCCTTTGGGACACAGCTCGGGACTAATTGTCCTCCATCAGCATAGGACGGTAACAGATATGCAAGGTTGGAGAGTGAAAGAAATACTGATGAGCAACAAATGCAGAGGAGAGAGTAAGCTCTATGAGACCAGACCGGGACAGAGAAAAAAGACACACAAGAAAAGAAAAGGACACCTGGACAAAGACACAGAGTCTTAGCATGGCACACATAGGCAGCTGATGGGTGTGGTCACCATTATTTTTGTCATTATAGCTGTTGTTTTTTTTGTTGCAGTTGTCTTTATTGTTGTATTTTGGAGTATTTATATTAGGACCTACTCAGCCCAGAGCTTAGTTTATGCAAACCCTAACCCTAACGGACAGTGATGTCATTTATATACAACAGCAGCATGAGAGCAGGATGTTGCAGCGAGGATGGACGCTGTTGCCGTGTTTTCAAAATAAGTGGGGTTCTGTCAAGAAGCTGCTCTCATGTCTTAACCAGTCATGTGACTTCCTGACCAATCAGAGGACGGCTTGTAACTTCCGGCCCAGTAGGGGCTAAAACAGTAACGTGGGAGGCGTCAGGCCCTAAAGGAAATGCTAAACAAAAATAGCTGCATTGAGTGATTTGTCATCGGTTTGACTGATATAATATATTTCAGTCAAACTCATGCTCTTGCTGCAGTTCTTTTTTTATGGGATTATTACAGATAGTGATGAGACCATAGATATTTAACACAGTGGAAATGACAAGCACAGTGTTGATGACCTCACCTGCACACTGTCCAGCACCATGCCGGCCATCACCATGCCCATCCCTGCCAGAAGGTAAGGGAAAACCACCTGAAGACAGATAGCTATGGAAGACTCCTCATCCACTTTGGCAACAGCCACTTTAGGCGTGTCCTCCGACACCTTTTTTGGAGAAGGCTGCGGGGCCGATGGTAACAAGAGGTCATCTTGTGAGTCTAAGGTGCCTCCAAGCTGGGTAATGGGGCTCCCACCAGGACTCTTCCCCTTGGAGCGGGACTTTTTGCTCTTCTTCCGGTGGCGTGTTGCCTGTGGCGGTTTCTCCTCGCTGGGCATGGTGGCAGTGGTGGATTAAACAAGTGGGGGGACTGCGCTGGGTTAATCTGAGGAGATTAAATAATAAAAGGATCAGGTCTGGCTTGATCATATAAAAAGGTTTGATAAACAGGAAATGGTTGTTCAGAGGGACAAAAAGGTGAAACCTGTTTGTAAAGTAAATCTCTTCATAATCATTTAAGCCGTGTGGTTATTTAAGGGGCTTGAAATGACTGATTTCACAAAACCATCAATTAGAGAATTAAGTTAACCTTTTTTATTTTCTTCGAACAGCTACTGCTTGCAAATCTAAAACTTCAAAGCACTTTAATTGCATTTATTCAACAAATTTAAAATGGCAGTAAAATTGAAACATGATGCTTGAAACCATCGACTTGTATGTCTTAAATATTACAGGAAGTTCAATGTTTTGAGATAAAAATGTGCAAGGTGAAAAACTAAAGTGATGATTAATAAAAATATACTTAAAAATATACTTATATTTTATCAATAGGGAATAAAATTGATCATTTATTGGCCCCTAAGACATGTAAAGTTAGACTTAAAGTGTGTGATCTAGTACACTTGGTGGGTATAAATATTTTTAAAAATCTGAATTTTTTTATCTTGTCATTGGTTGACGGTTCTGATTTGAAAATACCCCCAACCCTATTTAATGTTCGATATACACTTTAATATGTCGTCGAAGAGCTGTCTATTGACCAACATTACACCATATAATTTATGCATTCGTTCATAAGAAGATTTATTCAAAGTTAAGAGTTTTGAACTAAACAAAAATAACTCTTAAATCTGCACAAACATTTAGAAAAGCAGACTTAACATTAGCAGTGTTAGCATGGGATGCTATTCATAAGCACGAGCGATACTTTTTGACAGTTACCGTCTGATTCATTCATTGTTGACTAAATCCAAACGGGCGACAGACGAATAACTGACTCAGAATGTATAAAAAGCCAAAGTAAAACATAATGAGTACACACATAATCCACACGGAGTCCCACAACCTCCCAAACTCTCCAAATTCATGTGAAAACCCCACAATATTCCACTAAAAAAGCCTTAACATCTTCTGACGCGAAGTCCTCCGCTGGAAGCTGCCATGAACACATCCCATAATACAGCTGCTCTGGTTACCCGGGTTACGCGACACGGCGCTTTCTGATTGGGTCCGACGTGGCAGTGAAGTCGCGTTCTGACGTGGCCCCGCCTCCCCGCGAGCACGGCGAGCAGCTGCTTCTCATTAGGGCTAAAATGTTCTGACTGAACACGCTCCGGTTTGATTTGTACAAATACAGTGGTTAAACTTCGGTAACCTTAACAGAATACGCCCATTCAAATGTCAACACATTTTCACGTCAGTGACCGCAGTAACATTATTTAACTCGCTCTAAGTTGGTGCTGAAAACATAAACACTGTAAATGAATCCAAGTGAAATATTATCATAGGGAATAATCTTTATGAGAAGATCCCAGTTTGTCAAAAACAGTCGAGGAGATCCCATAAAGTTAATAGTTGGTCAACCAAAAATCATTAGTATTACATGAAAAGCTCTTTACTGGCTACACAAAGTTTAAAAAAAATATTTACACACAATAAAGATTAGTGTCTCCATTAGGAGTTTAAATTCGATGTGCCATCCTTACCTTTGACTTCAGTCGGATTTTAATTCCAGATATAGTCAAATGCTTACTGGGCTGTTTTTCTTTAAAATGTCCAAGTTAAAGATGATCTGCCTTTCATTTTGGACCACACGTTGCATGATGAAGCTTTTTGCTTGTGTGTCTGAAGTGTGTAAGCTGGTGCGCATGTATATCGGGGCACCATCTTAAATTACATGGCACTGGCAGATAAGGATATCCCCCTGCTGTCTCCTTTTATCTCCGGCTGGCTGACAGCAACAATCTGCTGGAGCTGGCCTCTGTTTCATTCACGAAACACATAAAACTTCAACAGAGTCATCACAGAGAGAAATTATTTCACTCAAATCTTTATACTGAATTATTCAACTTTTGTTTTTCCAGACAAGGAGGGAAATAACTACTTTTTGCTTCATTTGGGCAACAGGAAGCATAAAGTCTCTATAAAAAGGATCTCACATAGTTTATGTTTAGCGGACACTGTCAAAGGACAGTTAAAGTGTACTCCTGGGTTTCGATAGAGGCAGCTCTGGTTTGGAGGCTGATCTTTTCACTGCTGCTTGCAAAATGACACCACACCACGAGCACGCTGTGGTATTTGATGGTCATGCCACAGCGGCGTTGTTAATAGCCACTGGTCACTGGTCTCAGTGGGCCCTCCCGAAACTGAAACACTACTCGTGTGTAACATTCATTTGCATGTCTTGAGAGAATTTCCTCCTCTTCTTGCTTGAAGTAAACACTGACATTACAAGATCTCATTGCTCTGACAGTGAACCAGGGAAACATCATGTTGGCAACTGGACGGTGGTGGTATAAAGATGTTCCACCACTTTGAACTGAGCCATGTTTAAGTCTGGAATAATGAGTTTCGACACAAGGTGTCGAGTTCAACTTCTCTTTGGGGTCAGATGAATGACCAGACTGTTCAGCTGGTCTCTGACACACTGGGAAACGGACACATCACCACCAATTTTGAACTCAAATTCAACAGTAGCTCCAAGTTGGGGACCCTGGGTTGGACCAGTGGCCTTTACCTTACACATAACTGGTATATTTCTCATAAAAACTCCTCATGCCAAAGTGAAAGCACATTTTTGGTAAACCTGACAATTTGATTCAAATAAATATCAGAGGGTAAGGGATTTGTGTTAGACTGTAGCTATTTACCAAAGTATTTACACTCTTGTAATTAGCTTATGGAAGCCTATTTGGTAGAAATTCATTCTTTGAATCAGTTTCTTAAACCGATTGTTCCAAGTTTTAGAGACTCCTGGATGACAGCATGGACAATCCTTTTGCATATTCCTGTCTGTTGCTCAAAACCCTAAAAAAACAATTAAAAAAGCAAGCACTAATACACAAACCGCCACAAGGTGGCAGCATGAACCAAAGAGTGAGAAAACACCTGAAAAGGCCTGTTTCACGTGTTTTCAGGATATTTCGAAGCAAGACACTGCTGGAAGGGTTCCTGCCCAGACGCAACCTTATACTGAAGCTACAAACAGAGCCCAGAATGGAAACTTTTTTTTTATAGAACTGAACTTACTCTATATACTTGCAGCAATTAAAACAAGGAGGCTTATAAAAATGTACAACTTATTAGAGTTGACAAGTATGGGAGTAATTTTCCAACAATATGTGGGGGGATGGGGAAACAACTGTCAGGTGCCGCGTCTTTGTGCAGTATCAACTGCACGGTGGTCTGTTAGGAAGATCTGTTTAACATGCTTTGAGTCAGGAGCGTTTTTTCACCAGGTTTATAGTAACACGAGCTGTGTTGTTATGGACTCCATTATCCCTCTTTTTTGGAGATGGAAAGCTTCTCGAGGTTATAGAAATTTAGTTTATAGTCCCTCAAGTTAAATTTTTTTACTCATATCAACCATAATCAAAACCAGGATCCATTCAGAATGGCTGTCCATGGGTTTTCCTAAATATTCTGTCTGTCAGGCTTCTGTCAGTTTCTTTTTCTGTGAGATCGTGTGCTTGGCATTTCTGTTTGATGTGATAAAAAAGAACAAAAAAACAGTTTAAAATTCCTTTAAAAAAAACAGTGAATACGAAGGAGAGTCCTTAGCATTAGGAAATGTGGTGATAAATAATAATGAATGCTGCTAAGCTGAAAGACAGCATGTTCTGCCAGTCACCATTAAAGACACCACTTTATTTTTTTTTACCCATAAAAAGAGTAAAAACCATTCTTTATCAGCTCAACGTAGCCATGCATCAATATGTCTTTTGCAGCAGTCAAGGCTGTGGGCCCCTGACGAGGAGGTCAGAGGTTCAAGCTGACACTGTCAGGCCTTTAACCTCTGCTGCAGGGAGCCTGTTTCACAACCGGCCCTCTGCTCTGACGCCAGCTTTTCAACACAGCCTGGTCAAGCCAGGAGAAGATTTCATTGATCTGCTGTTTGGGAGGTTGTTTCTTTTTCCAAACAGCCCCTCACGAAATTCATAAAAATCCCCAATAACTCCTTATAAACACTGAGGGAACGCTGAGTAACAGGGCAGAGGATTTGTCGTAGACCCTAGTCTGAACATGTTGGATGAGATCTTTGTTGTCTGGGATAGTGACGCAGTGGCTAACGGACGGGGGGGGGGGCCTTATACGTCGGGTTTGTTTGTTCCTCAGCGCAGACTTTTGCGGGGCATGCATATCGGGTTAGCTGCTGATTGCAAGTAGATCTTTTCACTTGGGCGTAAGCGAGCGTGCTTGCCTGTCACTCTGCGTTAGCGCTGTGGTGGTCCGGTGGGCCCACCTCCTCCAAACCCTAAATGGGACAAAACTGTAGTAGTAGTTTAGAGAAATAAACCAATACTGTGACAGACAGCGTCCAGATGGTCAAGGGCTTTTGGAAAATTGATGAAGGGGAATCAACTGAGTCACACAACCACTGTTCATGTCAGATGAGTCTAAATGATTCATTAACAAGAATAAACGTTATTACATTTACTAAAAACAGTTGATCTAATCCAGGAAGTTTGAATATGATTGATCGCATTTCAGGGAATTAGTTCGACTCCAAGGATCTAAATGACTTTAAGACACGCACTCGTTCGGATGTACAAGGCTGGCATTTGAATGATGAAGCTTTGCCATGGCTGAAAATTAGATCAACATGCCCCATCTGAGACGCCCAGTCGTTGATACTGACCCAGGTGGGACCCCACACACAGGGCCTATCCAGGGTCGACGCATGGGTCCAAAGCCTGGGTCAGTGTGTCCACTGAAACACAAGATGTCCCCACTTACACACAAGCTCCACCCGAGCTGTTAAATACATCCACCTCACAGTAAAGAACCCAGAGATCGTTCTTTTTTTTCTCCTTTGTCAGATGTTTAAACTCATCCTTTGGTGAAGAAGCTAAAACGAACTCTGAATTTGACAGAAAAAAGCCTGCTGATTCAATTCAGATTTCTTGGGGGCCGGGATGGGGGCTAATAGACACTCTGAATCGGTCTATTAGTTCCTTTGGTATTTCATACTACTCACATACGAGTGCACGTGAGCCATATGGCAGGTGCAGATAGGGCTCAACAGTTGTGATCACATCTGGTGTCTGGAGCCATAGTAGCAGGAGGGGGGGGGCTTTGCAAAGGGATCCTTCCAAATGGACTCTTAATGGTGCTTCTGGCCCTTTTCTGAGACATTTCTTGCTCAAACACAGCAGCGTCTTTCTTAACAGCTCCGGTCTCCAGAGAGGAGATGAGTCAGCCAGCAGAAAGTCTCGGGAAAGTTAATTCAGAAACAAAGCTCAGAGGGGGGGGTTTCTAGTGTCTAGTTTAAGAAATCATGTAGACAACATAAATCTACAACTATCCATTTTGATCATGATACAAAAGCATTTGTAAAACCTCTTTGTATTTGGAGGTTTTGAATGCTAAAAGCACTAATTCAGTGGGTTTAATTTATTTGTGTCCGTTTTAGGTTTGGACTTGGACTTAGACTTGTACTTTATTGATCCCTTGTGAAGACTCCCTCAGGAAATTAAAGTTACCAGCAGCTTACAGGGCAAAAAAGTGGCACACAGAGAGCAAAATGCAAAAAAATACAAAAAATACGGATTAAGTACAGGTACACACTAAATGTACATAGCCAAAAAAATAATTGAAATACAAAGTAAAACATAAAAACCCCTAAATTAAGCAAAAATAATTAAAGAATAAGAATATAAATACAACGTGAAAATAAAGAACCCTAAGAAAATATAGGTGTTTGGCGGATAGATTGACCAGTGATATAGTATTGCACTATGTGGATTGGACACTAAGTGGTTTTGTATACTGTACAAATGTGTCAAACTGTCCTGCAGGTTCTCGACATCTTCCTGCTTCTGCACACCTGGATCTGACTGATATGGATCTCCTCTGGTCACTGTCGAGCTCTGCCCGGGCCTGCTATTGGCACATTGACGTAAACCGGGTGTATTCAAACGGGCAGACCTCTAAAAACTCTGCAGGCCAGCGGCCCTGGAGGACCAGAGTTTGACACCCCCCCTTCCTTAGAGTATCAGTCTTCCATGCGGTTGCATGCAGGCCAAGGCTTAGCCCACCACAGGTAAATAAACCCATGCCCTACGATTCGGGAGAATTTGTCCATGAAGCGTTTCATAAACTCCTGCTGACAGAGGAGCTTTGGCACTCGTGTGATAAAGGGCTGATAGACAGCTATGTTGCTGGCCTGTGCGGTGGAAACTTGTAATGTTGCTATAAATAAGCGCCCCTATCCTCTGTTGCCAGCCGTGCCATCAGTCCTCCAGTCAATGCACTCCATTCGGTTCTACTGTCCATTTGCCTGCATACTTGAGAGCGGTTAAGCTATCAAGATTAACCGACAACTAAATGGTTTAAACGTCTCGGCTTAACGCGTTTCGATAACAGACTGAAGAAGCCGCGAAGTTGAACTGACGTGTTTAAAACGGGGCAGATGGAGCAAATCAGCAAGGACACATTAGTATGGAAAGGTTTACCTTGGAGCACCTGTTGCTGCTCACACCAGCAGCTGTTGGCCTTGTGATACTCCCACTTCACCAACTTTATCAGCCAATGCACACACACAAACACACACACACACGTGTGCATAGTTACAGTGGTAAGAGGGGACAGGTCTCATATTAGACGGTAACGACACAAGGTGGTGTCACGAGAGGGCATTGTTAGCGTGTGCGCACACCCACAAAGACTTGAATGTT